TTGACCTGTGACATTAAAAGCAGCCAATCAGAATGGATCACTTCAGTATCCATGGTAATGGCACAGAGTCAAAGTTGTATAGTGGATCTACAGAGAAACATCATTGAGTATATCTGGAAATGGAAATGCTCCTTTTTGACGTCAGGACTGTTTTATTTTTTATTTTTGTGTGTGAATAATCTTCTGTTTCATTTCCACTACATTTTTTTGGATTGTGCCCAAAACATAAAAACTGTGTGCAAAAAATCTACTTAGAAAATCCTTTCTTTTCCTGTTTTATTTTGAAAATGAGCATCCCCTTTCTTTTCCCTGTGTGCCCTCATGGATCCCTCGATTGTCCAAATGTGTGCTCATTACTCGCCTGACCTTGTGCCCATGCTAAACCCCTTTGGTACTCTCCCTTGTTACCCCACTCACCTTCCAGATTATATTAGTTAATCTTTGAGGCTCATTGATTTCACCTGCTCACCTGTCACTCTTTCAATCTGCTCCACTGTCTCTTGTCCAAAATAAAAAAGATAGTGTCACCAACAGGTGAATGTTAAAACTGACACAAATGCATAATTCTTATATGAAACTGCTTATGTTGCAACATGCTGAGTTCTATAAACGTGTTATATTACTCCCCAAACGCTTAGATGCTAGCCTGAAGAGAGAAGTGAAAAGTGGCGCCACCTGCTGGTGAATTGGCACAATTCAGACCACAGACAAGTTTATATACCTGGAATAGCAAGCTCTATCAGATCAATGAAATTGGACCATCTCTATTTAGTCCCATGCATGAGTCCATTCTCTGCACACGTCCCAGTGTAATCCAACATTTACTGTCAGACACTGCCCCCTACAGGTTAAGGACAGGAAGGACAATAAATGGACAGGAGCCAATCTAGAAGTTTGTTTTAACCAGAAGAAAAGTCAAATTGATCCTGGAGATTTTTCCAAACTGGGCCCTTCATTTAACAGATGAATTACATGTCTTTAGTACAAGAAGCGGAGGCCAAAAAAACCCACCAAAGGCACAGTTTTATTTGTTTTTTGTAATTTTATCACAAAATCTCATAATTTACAGCATTTGTCCTCAGATATTCCGTTTTCTTTGAATCAAAAATCAGCGATATTGAGCTTATTGGAGCTGATGAGTTGAACTCGAGCAGGAATCAGTCTTGAAAGGAATGTGACAGCACAGCAGACACTTTCAAAAATAAATACAGGAAGTGATTTCAGTGAACCAGAATCAAACGCCCGAGGACAGGATGTGTCCATGATTAGCTTTTAGCTGCCCAGCTAGCGCTCAATTTGCCTTCTTATACTTCCTCATGTAGGACGCTATCGAGTTGGTGATCTCCACACTTTTCTTGTTCTGTCCAAAATACTCCAAAAACTCTCCGTCAGGTCCAACCAGGTACATGATGATGGTGTGATCGACCTATAGAGGAGAAAAAGGGGGAGTTCAGATGGAGAAATGTATTATCCTGATATTTAGTTGTATCGTTATCGTGGAGGCATAGATCGTACTGTGTATACAAAGGTCCTCGCCCTGGGTTTGAAAAAAACAAAAACCCAGAAACCAGCACTCTCCCTCATGTCAACTAAGGCTTTGCTAACCCTTCACTCCTCCCCCACTCTACCCTCTCGTCCAAATATGGTCACTTCCTGTCCTGGTCTACAGGTGTAACTCACGATGTAGTCGTTGTCTTCATCCTTCGGTCCCTGACTGTAATAGACTCTGTAAGCTCTGGAGACCTCCTCCACCTGAGCGGTTGCTCCCGTCAGACCAATCAGCTTCGGTGAAAACTCTGGGGGGGGGGGACACGACACACACATTAAAAGACAAACTCAAAAATGTACATGCAGCAGATCAGGTGTTGTGGCTTTTGTACCTTTCACATATGCAGCCATGGCCTCAGGTGTGTCTCTGTCAGGATCGATGGTGATCAGGATGGGCGTCAGGTTGGGAATAGACTTTATTTTATCTGTTACAAAGAAAAAGATAATGAAATGTTTTAGATTAAAAAAAAAAAAAGCAACAAGACATCCAGCTTCTCTTCCAGGTTTAATAGAATTTGATTTAAAAAAAATCAATTTGCCTATTTCGTCGACGACTTCGATCATTTTCTCGATCTCGTCCGGGCAGATGTCGGGGCAGTGAGTGAACCCGAAGTAGATGAGGACCCACTGACCCAGGAAGTCCTCGCTCTTCGACGGCTTGTTGTTGTGATCGACGAGCGAGAATGGACCACCGAGCGCCGGTCGACCGATTGATTTGGTCCTTTCTTTTTCAATCACTGCAAAGTGTAGCAGTCAATAAGTAATTCAACAACTTTTACATATTAAGTCAACTTCACGTGATTGTGGGGGTAAAATACTCACATTCTTCCTTTTCTTTTTTGAAATATTTCATCGATCCGAGCAGAGTACCTCCAATAGCAAATGTTATTGCTAAAGATTTCCACGTCACAGGCTTTAAAGGGAGAAAAACAATGACAGAAAAATCTTTACATTTCACCCACTACAAGTATTCAGCGTATTTAATATGTAAGAATACTCTCTCTGTGGTAAGAAACAAACTTACCATTCATGTAATTCTATTGTTTTAACTACTCAAACTCATCAACAGGCTTAAAGATTTTGAAAGGGATTCATTGGAAAACTCTTAGTTTGTTCAAGTCTTACTTTAAAAACAGAAGTTTTAAAGTAAGCCTGGAAAATATATTTTCCCCACGACCACACTTGACTGTGGGGTCCCTCAGGGCTCAGTTTTAGAGCCCCTACTGTTTTCTTTGTACATGCTGCCACTGGGTGCCCTTAGCCAAGGAATCGCAGCATATCTTTTAAAAAAAAAAACGTTTTTACACACTGTTGTTGAGACATGCTACACACACACAGGCGTCAGATTTGAAACACAACAAACTAATCATCAGCCATTTCTAATTGATGAATTGGTTTCATAGTGTCTGCCAACCGCATTAAAAGAAATGGACAACAGCATTTCTCTTGATGTTTTGTGCATTTTAAAGCCTAAAAATAAAAAAATCTTTATGATGCAAACTCTAATTGAATACCTAAAATATATTCTGAGGCAGTTATTTCCAAAAGTGTTGGACGTGGAGGTACCACAGCCTGATCAAGACTGACTTTAAGTTGAGATCAAGATAAGTTGTTTGCCACTTACCCCAGACTTTTTCTGCTGATCTTTTGATGAAGGCGGCGGAGGAAGTGAGGAAAACGTTCTTGAGGAGTGTTGATACAGATGGTGACTTATTCTGCAGGTGTGCCACTGACTCACACTCACCTGTGGAAAGTACGCACAGGCTTGAGTTAATACGTCTTATCACGAAAACAATCATCTTGAGAGGCTTCGGCACCTTAAGACAGCCAGGTGTTACGCCAAACTCCAATCAAATAATTGCCAATATAAGGTGGTGTTTCACAATGAAAGGATAGGCGGCGTAACAACAGATGTCCACCTGAATTATTAAGTGTTTTAGTCAATTCCGGGTAGCTAATATCGATAACACTGAAAGCCATGTTAGGAGAATGTCCATACAGATGTTTTCAAAATTGTATTTTATTTATTTGTTAGGGACAGTGTGCATATTAATGAAAAATATGAAAGTGTAAAAATGCCAGATTATAGCACAAGTGCTAGTTTCCATCTGTTGTCCCTAGGCAGGTAACAGAGAAAGACAAAATACAAATAAAATACAAAAACAAATACAAAGGCACAAGTGACACAAGACAATAATAGAGGTTAAAGGTTAAAGGTGGCCACATGAATGAATGATGATGGTTTGCACGATAGAAGCATGATAGACACATCTTTTGCCCAGAGGTGTATATTAATTTACTAAGAGTTTTAAAAGTAAGGCAATTAATATGGCAATGTTTTAAAAGCTATTCGCAGTAAAAAATAAAATAATAATAATAATAAAAAAAAAAAAAAGGATGTTTCATACATTAGGACAATTTGATAAGATAAAATGTTTATTTTCACTGTACAAGTACAACGAAATATTGTTGGAGTAAGCCTGTAGATGCCTAATATCAGAAATATACAAATATACAAATATACAAATATACAAATACTAAAACCAAATATTCAATTAAGAAATACAATTAAATAATACGCACGAAAAAAATAATATATACACTAATAATATACACTTACTAACTCAGCAGAAATGAATAATTAGTGAATGGGGTTTGGTATGAGAGCTGATATGAAGCTAGCTTTGACCTACCATGCAGCAGTGAGGTCTCTGCGGTGACAGTGTGTGTTTCAGTTCAGCTTCTCTCCGTAACACAGTGTGTGAGAGTCTCACAGCTGGAGTCTGAACACATTTCACGTTTCTTTGACTTCGATATAAAACACTCAGGGCCATTTTGGACCTTGACAGACCCGCTGCTCAGACGAGGAAGCGGGTGCAGGACAGGTTTGCAAAACGTGATAAGGGAGAATACGGGGCAATACAAGCTGCTGTTCTGGAGTCAGTTCTTAACGATCATGTTGGGTCAATAAAGTGAGAAAATACTGCTCTCAGATCAGTGTCCCGGGAGCTGTTATCAAACACAGGAAATGACGTAGTTAGGTCTTCTTTATTTTCCTTTAGCAGTTCCTGTGCTCTCTGCTGCCCTCTATGGATGCATTACATTTGTAAGGAGAAATTATTGTATGACTTTTATATGAAATCATACGTAGGCCTAAACATTGTACCTATTTTGTAAACAACAATAATAATAATAATAATATAATAATAACTTTTATTAATATAGCACCTTTAAAAAACACAGGTTTACAAAGTGGTTTGACAAACAGCAAACACAAGAACAAACTAAACCAAACACAGAAGAACAGAAACAACAAAATAATTAAATACAATTCAACAGAAAAGAACCCAAAGTGCACGATACCCAACAGACATATATAACCCGACCATCACAAGAACCATGATAAGAACCCAGGCAACACAAGAAGAAAAGAAAAACAAGGCTTTTTAAGAGAAGTTTAAGATATTTACTTTATTTTGTTGATGAAATAATAATTATAGAAGACTCAGTGGTGTAGTGCAGGCCCAGGGTATACGCGGATATACATACTTTTCTTTCAGTCTCCATAGTGTGTACCCACTTCTAAATCTCCTCTGAATCACACCATTGATTGATTGACAATATTCAGCATTATGCTGCAGTTTTTCTAGGATGGTGAAGAGATGACCCTCCCTACTCTGTCTATACATGGTCAGTATGCACCTACTAAATATGCAGTAAGAGTCATACATGTCACTGCTTATAACTGAGGCCGTTTATCCTCTGCTGAATGGGCCAATTCAAAAACTTATTGGGGAAAAATTAAGACGATACCTATTTCTTTAGGCACCACTAAACCTCTCAACAGACTCCAATATGTTGTAACTCTCAAATCACACATCAAACGACACTTTCAGTACACCCATGGATGTCATATTTTTGCATTTAATCATCCTTCAAACAATTATTAAAGCAGCATCCTTGGTCCAAGATATTCAGTCAAAAAAAATCAAACAAGAGGAATATTTTCAGGAAAAAAAAAAGGTAAGATGTTGAAGTTTATAAGGCAGTTGTGCAATGTGAAGGCCAGTTCAGTCTGAGTTCTTTGTTGATGTAGTAGTAAAGCCAGGCCACAAAGGGAAAGACCGTGATGGCAGCAGCTGTTGAGACTCTGAGCATCCCGACTGGAGACCTGTCACAAGAGAGGCGCATCAAACGTTTAGGGGAAGAACCGATTCATGGTTGCACAACAGTTCAGTTTCCACTGTGGCATAAGTTTCATGAAATATGGGAGACATGGAATTAATTCCCTGGTATATTTAGATTTTACCTTCCAGAGTGACGACACAGGAGAAGCCAAACAAGAGTCAACATGAGACCAGAGAATTCTCTGAAGGGGAAAACATTTTAAACTCACATTATGTATGTTTTCTCTTTATATGTCATACAATATTCTCAGTAATTACTGATTTAATGCAGAATAATTTGGGGCGTGGAAATGTTTCTACAAGTATTACCTTGCTTGAGGTTGCTCTTATCACTATTTTAGGTAAACAGTTGAACACCTTACCTGCCCTCCTCCTGTTGGAAGATCTCTGTCATTCTCTCTTTGTGAACCCTCCACCCCAACATGGCGACCACAGCGCTGGAGATCATCACATGGAGATCAGCAACACGCCTCCACGCCAAAGTCTCTGCCAAAACGAAAAAGACAGAAAACATGCAAAAAGGGTCAAATGTTCATCCCAGATCTACTGCAGTTTTAACACGCTTAGGTGAGCTGTAATGACACGATAAAGCCACTTGATGGCGCTGTTAGAATTGGGGGAAAAATACATTCATGCAGAGTTGAACAGACAAGAAGTGGGAAAACAGGAACATGCAAACTGTTGAGGGTAAGGAAGCTTTTAGAAAGAAAGAGGTTCATAATCTTAGATATTAAACACAGGGACATACAGGGACGAACACTGAAGACCAAAACTGACAAAATCTGTCTACCTGTCACGTGTGGTTTCAAGCTTAGAAATGCACACAGGACTGCAGGAACACCATAACCGACCTGCAAACAGAGGTAGAAACATGGTGTGAATAACACTTTCAAATCATATCAAACAACATGTGAGATGATGTTAATCTTACCATCCATAACCCTGCGTCTGGATCATTGATCTGCAGTCAAAGAAACACAGATTATATGTGTTGCTCCAGAATTATGAATGCATGAGGATAACTAGTCAAATAATAATAATAATAATCTATTCCTCACCTGCACGTATGTTGCAAGAGCGAAGAATAAAGACATGAAAGCGTTGCAAACTTGCCAAATCACAGAAAGCCATGACTTCTTCTCACAAACTACTTCACCCATTGCTGTTTCCTAACCTTTCACCACTTACCCGCCCGGGCCTGCGGGACGTACAGATAAACGAAAACAGGCGCACAAGCCGGTCCTTGTATTAAACATTTGTATTGGGTTTGAAATGCTTGTACGTCGTATTACATCGCCTTGTTTGTAAAAAAAAAATAATAATAATTGGAATAATTTTCGCGGTGGTCGAGTTAATAGACGTAATAGTCGTTTTTTGTTGTTGTAATTGTGTGTTGCATAATGTCACAACAACATCCAGGATTACAGTTTACATGATGAACACATTGTTCTTATTTTCGAATCTGAAAAAAAAAAAAATGTCTTCTTACGTCAATAAATCACCTGACACACGTTCATTTAGAAAAACTGCTGCACAACCTTCAGTGTCTGCATTTTTCTGACCGGGCTGCTCCGTACAACACAACGAGCACACCTTGTCCGCGGCCGCAGTGACGTCAAGGTAGACGCACAGAAGAGACACCACTTCCGGTTAGATTTTTTTAGAAATTAAAATAATTATTCACAGCTATCCAATATTGGTGGGATTTTTGGTAAAGGTTTTATTTATTACTTTATAAAAAATAATTCACTGACTTTGGGGTTGTGACTGCATACATACATACATATGAGAACATGTGATATACATATGACAGCATTCTTTACTGTTCTTTAAATGCTGAATCAGCATACATTTTTCGCAATACTGTTACAACCAAGCCTATTTATTATTTATTAATTTATATATTATATATATTATAACATGTATAATATCTCAGATATGTCATTATATGACTATCACAAACATATAATTCATTGAACGTCAGGTTGTTTGTAGTTTTAAAAGGCTAATGTTCATTCATAAATTCTATCTCACTCCAATAAAGATGCATAAAATCTCAGAAGATAACTCACCAAAGTGTCCGCGATGTAAAAATGAAGATGGAACATGTGATGTGCTGAAGGACTTTTGGAATTTTATTCATTCCTTTACTAATTCATTCCTTTACTAAATCTGTTTTGGAAATGTAATTTGATTTAAACCCTTGTCTGTATTTATTAAACGACTCCCCAGATTTTCAGTTAGATAGAAAAAAAATGCATATTATTAATAATTATAACATATTTTGCCAAGAAATGTTTATTACTTTTTGGGAAAAATGAATCTCCGCCAACCTTTAAGTTGTTTTTGGATCAAGTGTCACAATTCTTACCGTTAGCGAAATTAACTTTGGAAAAATGTAACCATGTGGTCATATTTTTCAGGACTTTTGTTCTTCCATTGATATGTTGCTTGGAGGAATTTTCTAAAGGTTGTCACCAATGATAATTATTGAATTGAATTGCCCCCCGGGGACAAATAAAGTTTTTTGAATTGAAGTGAATTGAATAATGCAATAATACTATGATGTTATGATATCTAATTATTATTTTTTTATTTAATTCCCCCTTTTTTTGTCTCATCTTATTATTTTTACTATTATTATGAAGAGTATTATTATTATTACTGTTAGGATTGTTTTTCTTGTTTTTGCTTTGTTTTTCTGTGTATGCATGGAGGCCTATGTATGCAGACATGCATGTATGTCTGTGTTCATGTTGGTGGAGGGAAGGCATATACTGACATTCTCTGTACAGTTTGTTGATCGTTGTATACCCATCCCAAATAAAATGATTTAAAAAAATAATAATAATAATGTTTGTTTTATTTTGAAACTGATGTTACGTAATATCCGGCGACTCGTTAGCACTGCCGTTAGCTTGCCGTTAGCTCCGGGACGCGGTGGGTGTTGACATGTCAGTGTCACTTGGTCAGCTGATTGCGGGACGTAAAGCTTCTCGGCTAGTACTTGCTAGCCAGCTTAGTTAGCTTAGCCTAGCAGGAGGTTTGTTTTTGTTAACGTTGCTGCACAGGTAGCTTTTAACGTAACCCAAAACTCACTCTGAAAAACACCGAGAATTTGACGATTTTAACACCGTCGCTGAGTCGCTAGCCGCCCGTCGAGCGGCCTGAAGGTTTCCGTGAGGGAGGCAGTGATCATTGTGGCAGAGAGGGAAGGGTGAAGTTGCTCTCCGAGTATCTGCATTGCAGCCCCGGTGCTGCTGATGGAATTCAAACACACAACAATGGCGACTCCCAGTCCTAACAACCCGACAGCACCGAGCAGCCACAGCAAGAACGCAGGACCCGCAGCTAACCACCTCCTCCAGTCGCAGTCTCAGCACATCACGACGATGAGCAGCCTGCAGGGTGAGTGAAGCCAGTGGGGGGGAAAAAATATATATCTGCAGCTGGGAGCTCTCGGTCTGCTGCAGTGAAGGTTAATGTTAGCAGGGCTAGCCGTGGGAGGCTCAGGCTACTCCCAGCTCCGGAGGATTAATCCCACAGGAGCCGACTGCTTGTTAATTATTCCCCCAGTTAGGAAATAAATTATGTTTTATGTTAAATACAGATTCAACACAATCTGCAAATCTCTGCAATGCCTTATTATTATTTTTTACGTTGTCATTAAATACCAGCATCTGATGTATTTGCATAAAAAAATAAATACAAATGTAGACAAAATAAACAATTCTGACAATAACAATGGATGTTAAAGTTTAGTTTATATAATAAGGATTGTCTTTAAGCTCCTTTAGGTTGTAATTGTCTGCAATAAAATCTTGAAATCTTTCTGGATTTTGAGACACAATAACAATTATTAGAAGATAATAATAATAATAAGATGTAATAAATAAAAAATAATAAGAAACAAGCTTAAAATGCTTCATAAAGAAGGACAGAATAAAACAGAAATGGGACAAAAGGCATCAGGCTTTCATAGAAAATGGGTTTGAATACAGTCAGGAAAAAAAACTGTGAAACAACAAATACTTAAGAATAAATAAAATATAAATAAAAATGTCAAGGTCAGGAAAATGTGTTTAAAAGGAGGATTTATTAGGTAGAGTAAAGCACTTTAATTTCTCCCTATTCATCACACTGTAATCTTGTCTGGGCGAGTACTTCCACAGTTAAAACACTAATGTTGGATTATTTTTATTATTTATAAATGTGTTACACCAAGTGCAGCTCTCTTCTTTAAATTGCAGTTGTTTACCATTTTGGACATCATCACTGCTCATATCTAAACATTTATCTCTGAGGTGAGGCATAAAAACACAGGGTTATCTTTCGTTGTTATTTCACATTTATGTTATGACATAAAGTCGACCCTCGACCAGTTTTCTGTTAGAGATCGACGAGTCATCCCGTCCAAATAAAATCCTTATTGTGTTATTCTTGTGTTATTATGTAAGTACTAAAATAGTGAGCTATACTTTGGTGTCAAAATCAGTCAATGTTGAACTACAACAAGATGTTGGTTGAACAATGACGTGGGCACAGTGGCATCCCTTCATTTTTTAAAACACAAATTCTAATGACACTTTTTCAGACCAAGAGTTGAACTGATATTACTCTGACATTTGGCTTTTATTGATAATAAGTTTGTATGTTTTTTTTTGAGAATTACACCAAACCCCACGCCAACAGCTGGCAATTATAAACCTCCTCTTCTTCTACACAAAATACATTTCTGACATTCCTTATGAAGAATTAAAAAACACATTACTCAGCTTAAATGTAATCAGTGTGTCATTGGGCGTTGAAGTACAGCTCCCCTGACATTCCCCACGCCTGTTATGAGTAAAGAAGCCTTCATTATAGGGCTGCTGGATTATCGGGATTATTTTGATTGATAAACACGATTACTCGTTGATTTTACAACATCTGGATCACATCTATTCATCAAACGTAAACACTCTGAGCCCTTTAACGTTCTGAACTCTTTGAGAAACAATCAGTAAATGAAAATGAACTCTGATTTTGAGGTGGTGTCCTCTTGTGGCCTAAATGTAACAACAAACAAATTGAAAAAGTTACCACACATGATAAAACCTTTGGACAAAACGAGCATAACACAGCAGGCTACATAATAATCCTTTAATCTCCATTATCTTGTTTTCATGATCGTGGGAAGACACACATTGTAATAAATGTTCTGTTTTGCACTTCTTTGAAATCGGGGGTGTGTCACTGTTACATTTACAGAATTGATCAAAACACCACAACAATGAAGACATCATGTGAAGCCGTTTAACATCGAGTGTTTATGATTGACAATAAGACGAACTAAATAGATTTGACAGGGAAGTTTGTGTTTTCTTTTCACGCTTTGTCAAATACAATGAATACGTGTCTGTACCTGCTTTTTTATGAAGCTGCTCTTCTTGTTTTTTTTAAACGACTTGTCAGCAGAAATATTTTTCCCCTTCTTTCCCAACACACACAACTGAAGTGAAAACAAAAAACCATGCTGTGTTTATTTTGTTCAAACACTGTCCCGTTTTAACTTTCAGAGTCCAACACCTGCTGGAGATGTCAGAGTGAAACAGGTAGCTACACATTTTATTGACTAAGTAGAGTGACAAAGACGCTTCTTGAATAGAAACCAAATTAAGATTTTCATTGGAAGGACAAAGTCACAAGTTCTCAGAAGCTAAATTTACATTTTAATGGAATAAATCTACATGAGGTTTGGTGAAACTCGTATTAACTTCTACTTTAAGCAAACTTTTAAAATGTCTTGAAATGTAGTGTTTAATGTAGTTTGTAAAGTTAGCAGTTTGGTTGATTTATGTCCTGATTTAACTTTCTGATGACGGTTTACTACATTTATAACAACTGATGCATGTTTGATTTATACCCCTGTTACCTTTCTATGCTGAAAAAAAGTGGTTTTGAACTATTGTTGTAACAAGAATTCAGGCTTTTAAAGCTTTATTTTATTGTATTTTAAAGAGGGCCCGACCGATATGAGATTTTTGGTGCCGATACCGATTTTGTGTAGACAAAGAAAACGATGCCGATATATCGGCCGATATTTTTCTTAGAGCTATCTCCTATCTTTAGAGATAGATAGATATAGATGGTCACTCAACTGGAAAGTAACTGCGCATGTACGTGCATCACCGCTTTCGACTCTTGAGAGTGATAATGCTTGATGTAATCCATATAGCGCCCTCTGCTGGTGACAGTCAGAAAGAGAACTGCTAGTGTAATACAAAGATACAAAAATGAAATGCTATTTGACTGGTGAGTAAATCTAGTAATATCGGCGCATGTCTGTGGTAAAATGAGCTGATACCGATTGTCACTTGATATGCTAATATCGGCTGATATTATCGACTGGGCGATTAATCGGTCGGGCTCAGATATTAAACTTGTGAGGTATTTGACGTTAATGTGTAATCCAGTATAAGTCTTGAACATTTTTCTGACCATGTTACACTTTTTATCTTACTGCTGCTAACTAATCATTCCTAACTCCTGACATGATGCTGACCGATGGTGAGAAAATGTTCATTAAGATGTTTAATGTTTTTTTTTTTCCTTGAACCATCATCATTTTTACGTCCTTTTTGTTTTACCTGCAGGTTTTTTTTTTTTTTCTTCCCCATTTGCTGTTAAACCATTCAAAGTTGCTCGTCTTTGTGCATGCTACCCTGCAGAAAACGCGTTCAACCTTCCTGTCCCAGTTTGTTTCACATGTTAGCAAAGCAAGGCCAATTTCTGTGATTGTATGTGATCCCTCAAAAACTGCAGGATTCCTGTTGGGCCCTCTATGACGGGTGAAACAAAACAAAAAAAAACGACTTTTTACTGCAGGAAGCGGTGACTTTCAGGAAGGTTTTTCTTAAGTCTAACTAACAAAAGAAGTCTCTAATAGAAGACAACAACAACAAGCTGAAATATGAAGAAAATAAAAGCTGTCTTTTCACCTCTAGGGTTTCAGATAAACCTGTCTGGAGCTCCCCCAAGTAAGCCAAACCTCTTTTGCTTCAGCACCAACAGTTCTCATCCCTTTGTTTCCGCCTGACAGTCTGGTATGGGGGAGTCTGTCCTGCTGCTCTCAACTAATCCACGTCAAGACTTCTGATGGGTTCCAAATAGGCTTGTGCCGGTCACTAACAGTCCAGTGATTACATTGGGCACTCTGATCTATCAAACCTGGGAATTTCCTTTTTTTTTGGAGGGGAACATATTGGAGTTTGTCCGATAGATTTCTTCAGCCTGCAGCAGTGAAACAGGCTGCCATGTCTGCAACGTAACCCTTTAGCATGCATGTACATCGCAGTACGTCCACTAAAAGTGTCTGACAACATCACAGAAAGGAAACGTATCATGACAGACCTAATAAGAACACCATGAAACATTTTGTATGCTCCCAAAATCAGTATGCCACATGCATAATCAAGTGTAGACTCTGCATAAAGTTACATAATCAATCAATGCAGTGATGGAGCAGCATCTGTCTGTATGCAGTAAAATGACTGGAGCTCGGTGGATGTAAAAAGAGCGATATAACATTGATTTTATAGTTTAAACAGTCTTACTCTGGGAGCCTCTCTGTTGTGTTGTCCGATACTTTGAATCATTTTATTGGACTCACTTTGATCATGCTGATTTGACTTGAAAGATTACGTTGCAGCAGGGTTGGCTGAAGCAGTCGAGTGGGGGAAATTCCAAAACATTTTGTACCTATTAGTCATTAGGACTCCAAAATATCTTACAATACAGTCCTGGCTTAGATATAAAGGAATTCACCCTTTAATTTAACTATATTAGGTAACAGGCCCAAGCTGGTCACACACCAGAATTGTATTCAATCTCTTCATTTTTTTCTCAACAACGACTCACTTTTGAGTTTCTGTGCTGCCAATAAAAGTTAGATTTTTCTAGCAGCTTCTCAGAGGTAAGCTGCTTTTATCTTCATCGGCACAAGCCTAAAATTCAGAGCTTCCATTGACATGACGGAGCTAGGTCTTCTCACCCCTCTGTGCTCCCTCCGTGTGATAAAACACTAAAAGAAAACACTTTTCATTAATAAAATCCCCGGTAAAATACTCTAATGGAAGCTCTTCTTCACTGGTTTTAGAGTGCAACTAACACGCTGAAGTAGTGCCTGTAGTGTCACAGTTTTGTTTTCAACTGGTTTGTCTTTTTGTGTTTTGGCATGGGTGCACCTTAGCATAGCACTTGCTTGTCGAGACAAGGTACACACACTCCAAAGTTGTCATTTTAAGCCATGTTTTCCATTCGGGGGCCTATTGGAATTCAAGTACACACATTCTTGTGGTATTTTGGGGGCGGAGCGAGCGTGGAGAGCTTTTCCTACGATGTGAAGGTGAAATCAAAGCAGTTGGCCTTGACGAGCATGTCATGATTTGATGTGGGTTTTTTTTTTTTTCACCCCCTTCCCAGTTTTGTGTTTACATGTGGGTTGTTGTGTCTGCACCGTGAATGTAAGGTGTTTTGGATTCAAGCAGCATGCTTTGTTTCTGTTTCTGTCTCAGATATCCAGTTAAATATGACCGTGAGAAAGCCACAAACGCAAGCAGGATGAATATCTGAACGCTGCTCGGCTGCCACTTAAAAGGAGACGCTAGTTAAAGAATAGGGCCAAAGTAATGGTAGTGGAAGAAATATCATATATAGTCTGATTTCACAAATTCAAGGGCAGGGAAAAAAATTATGTTCTTTCAGTTTATTGAAAAGTTTTCCAGAGGGGCGCCGGTAGCCTAGTGTTTAGTGGGCGCTCCATGTACAGGGGCCATGGTCATCTGAGCGGATGATCCGGTTTGAAACCTTTCCCGCATGTCACTCCCCACTCTCTCTCACCCCAATTTCTGACTTTATCCACTGTCCTATCTCTAAAGAGATCCACCGTTTGGAGAAAAAGAGAATAACTTCTCTTAACAAATAACATTTTTGCGAAATTACTTAAAAAAACGCATTTAACTGAACGAGTCCCCCCCCACCCAAAAAAACAAAACAACAACAACATTCAATATAGAGATGGTGGGATTGCAATTATCCCTCCCCCCCATTCATAGCATCCAATGATTTAAGTAGGGCCAGACTGATATGAGATTTTTATGGGCTGATACCGATATTATGGAAAGAAATAAAAATGTGATACCGATATGTCGGCCGATATCTTTCCTCGATCTATCTTCAGTCTTTACAGATAAATAAATAAAGAGATTCTAAACACATTTATTGCGTTGACCCCTCAAATGCAGTTATCACACATTTGGGTAAAAGATATTTAATGACGAGAAGATGGTCACTCAACTGGAAAGTAACTGCCCATCACTGCTTGACCCTCTGGAGAGCGATAATGCTTGATATAATCCATACAGCGCCCTCTGCTGGTGAAAGAGAACTGCTAGTGTAACACAGAAACTCTAATGAAATGCTTTTTGACTGGTGGATAAAATTAGTAATATCTGCGTAAATCAGACACACAATTAGCCGATGCCGATAGTCACTGGATAGGCGAACATCGACCGATATTATCGTCTGGCTGCTAAATCAGTCGGGCTCTAGATTTGAGTAAATCTGGTTAACCTGTCTCTTTATTCTGTTCTCATTTTCTGGTTTGTGTTGTTCTTGCTCACTCATCGTTCAGATCTTTCTTGTGGGATCAGATTTTTTCTTTTGTTTTTGTTGTTGCTTCACACCCCTCTCACTTTCTGCTTCATGTGTTTTTATCTGATCACATTACGGCTTCTTCTCCCGCTCAGGTAAACGTAAAGCCCTGAAGCTGAACTTCGCCAACCCTCCGATCAAACCCACCACTAGATTCACACTGAACACGGCGGGGCCGCCCTTTCAGAACCCCCACATGTGAGTAAACCTGCAAGATGTCATCTGGTTTGATCTTCAGACACTTTCAGGACATTCAGGTCCCTACGTTTAGCGCCCTCTGCTGACTTATCCTGGGGATGCTGGGGATCAGTGTAATAGGTCAACTTTAAATCAACTCACTCGTGTTTCTTTTTCCCCCCAGAGAGCGACTGAGAACACACAGCATCGAGTCATCAGGGAAGCTGAAGATCTCTCCTGAGCAGCACTGGGACTTCACAGCCGAGGATCTCAAAGACCTGGGCGAGATCGGCCGAGGTGCCTACGGCTCGGTCAACAAGATGGTGCACAAGCCAAGCAACCAGATCATGGCCGTGAAGGTACATTTGAACCTGTGTTATGTGTTTATCCAGAAGCAGATTCAAAGACGTTATCGTCAAGTGTATAACGGTGTGTTACATTTTCTCCGCAGAGGATTCGGTCCACCGTCGATGAAAAAGAACAGAAGCAGCTGCTGATGGACCTGGACGTGGTCATGAGGAGTAGTGATTGTCCGTACATCGTGCAGTTTTATGGTGCTCTGTTCAGAGAGGTGAAATGAGTTCATAAGGAGATTCGTTCAAGAGGATATTGTGTTTTTTTTTTTTTTTTTTACATATTTGGGATCTAAATGGCAACAAGGAACAAAAAGTTTAGAAATCACTCCAGCCCTTAACCTGAGCCCGGAGCAGTGAAACAGACCGCAACAGCTGCAATGTGATTTTTCAGGAGATCAGAGTACGTCCACTAACAGCTCCTGTTGTTTCAGGCTCAAAGTGTAATTCAGACTTTTTGACAACATAACAGAACGGATCCTTATTTTGTGTTCTGTTGCAGCCTTTAGATCACTCTCCTCAGAGCCACCGGACTCTTCTGATAAAAACAGTATATATTATTAATTTTTTAAGTGATCTTTTTTGAGCCTTTATGAGATAGCACAGCTGAAGAGAGACAGGAAGTGTTGGGAGGAGAGCGCTGGGGGATGAAATGCAGCAAAGGCCCGAGGTTGGACGGCTGCGAGGACTATAGCCTCCACTTAAGGGGCCTGTGACAAAACTGCGAGACTATCCAGCGCCTCCAGAAACAGTAGTTATACTGTGCAGAAAACAGGAATTTCTGGTCTGCTGTTTGTGTGTGTTTCTGTCTGCAAAAAAAGGACATATTTCGATTAAACGCATTTGCCCTGACAGATTCCCTGCAGCCATTACAGCCTGATTCACTGCTGCAGGCTGAAACTATTTCCTGGAGCAATTCCAAAACTTTTTATAACTTCGAGTCATAAAAATATGACAAATATTTTCCTGTTTTTTCCTGTCAAACTGTATTTCACAAACTAATGACTTCATCACTTTATTTTCCTTTTTCAGGGTGACTGTTGGATTTGTATGGAACTTATGGCTACCTCCTTAGACAAATTTTACAAATTTGTATATTGCTCATTAGACGACGTGATTCCAGAGGAAATATTAGGAAAAATAACATTAGCTGTAAGTTTTTTTTTTTCTTCTTCGTGATTCATCCTCACTTTTTCTAGAATAAAAATCCTTTAGACTCTTAGTGACTCTGCTGCTTCACATTTTCTTTTCTCTTTCAGACTGTGAAGGCTCTTAACCACTTAAAAGAAAACTTGAAAATAATACACAGAGGTAAGACGACACACGGACACTTTCCTTTATGTGCTGTGCATTTTAAGATGCCTCTTCACCACCGACGCCATTTTTTCTTTTCTCTCTCTCCCTCTCTCTTTCAGACATAAAGCCGTCAAACATCCTCCTGGACAGGGGCGGCAACATCAAGCTGTGCGACTTTGGCATCAGTGGTCAGCTGGTGGACTCCATCGCCAAAACCCGAGATGCAGGCTGCAGACCTTACATGGCAGTGAGTAAAGCTGAGAAATCAGAGCTAACGTGAGGCTACACCTCGCTCTCTGACTGCTCGTTCAGTAGAAGCGTTTTGTTTGATTTTGGAGCTTCCTCGGATTAGAACGACGATTCTTGTTGGGTGGACGACGTTTTCCTTCCTGCACATTGACTACAACGATGAAAAATGATCATCAGCCTGTTTGTGTGTGTGTTTACGGCGCCGCGCGTCACACTCTTTCTCCCTGTATGCTGACGTTAGCGTAACCTCACCTGCAGAATCGATGTCAATAACCCTTAATGTGAGCGTGTAGTTGTCCGCTATCTCATGTAAAGTATGGAGTAACGAGTGCTTTTAAATGTCTGTAACCTGTAAGTCGATACTCTACTTGTGATAGTAGTGGAGTAGTAATGCTACTCGGGACAGGACAGGGTTTGGATTTGAATCAGGGCAGGTGTGTGACTCTTCCACAGAATAAATAAGCGACTGTGGAGTGAGTTATTTGGGTGAGGAAGTCGAATAATCATTTGTTTTTTTAATGATGCTGAAGAACATCATTAAATGTTCTGTTGTGCTTGTTTATTATTAGGTTGTGTGTTTCTGGTGAGCAGCCACTGTGTGTGTTCCAGAGTGTGTGTGTGTGTGTGTAACATTATTAAAGAGTACTGAATCGTTGTTGGCTCAGAGAGCTGATCTCACCTCGTCATCATCACTCAGGTTATTTTCTGTTGTCGGGTTACGTCAGCTGGGGGGGGGGATGTTCTCCTCCACCCCCCCCTTCCTCTGCCGTCTCTCCACAGCAGTTTCCATTCTAAATTTGGTGAGGCACTATCACCTCCACAACACACACATGGGCAGGCGGCTTCATTCATGACAGGGTGGATTGTGGGCGGAGTCACGGCGGTGAGCTCACTCAGCAGGAATCTCAGCTCCACTTCTTTCTGACCGTGCAGGTGTTCCGATTCACCGCAGCGCTGCAAACAGACGCCTTAGATGACGGAACAAAATCTGACCTCAGAACAGCTGGGAGCCTGAAATAAAGCTGCTGTTGTGACTGAGCGTACACGGCATGTGTGTTTTACCTCGGGCAGCGCGCAGGTGGAAATGAAGAGGTGACAGAAACAGAAGTTGTGATTCACAGCTCGTTTGAACAGAAGTTGATGATGATTGTTTGGCTGTTGTTGTTTGTTGCAGTCGGTTTCACATGTTTCTCTTTACTGATTTCACTTCTTCTAAACTCTCAACACAGTTTTCTTACCAACATGGGTAAGCTCAGTTATAAAAAAAAAAAAAACAGTACTCATGCTGCAACAACACCACATGCATGTCTCAGGATCTTCTTGTGACTGATGGCTGATCTGATCGACAGGCGGGGGTGATGTAACGGTTCATCAAAACCCGCCTCAGCTCCAGCTCTCAGCCTGTCGTTAGGTTGACTGAAAGTTAGGCTGAGACAGGATTTCCAGCATGGCGGCTGCTGCTGATGAGCCTCCAGAGCCCCCTGCTGTAACAGATGGGTGACGTCATTCAGGTTTTCATTCTTTAACATTTGCAGTCTATGATACTAGTAAAATGGTTTCTCCTTGATACAATTTATATTTAGAAATGATCTTAGAGGCTGAACTCCTGCAGTGTCTGCAGATGTGTGTGCTGCAGATGTGTGTGCTGCAGAGCGTCTCTCTCTGCAGCACAGACTGTACCGCTCTGCTGTGGGTGACATCAGCGTCTAAATCAGGAACCTGTAAATGGGCCAACACCGTGCCTCCTCTTCTCCGCAGGAGATTTCCGCTGCCTTCCCTCACTCCTCTTCATCACCACATCTTGTTTTTTTTGTTGTTATGAAGATGTAGCAGAGAGGGGGAGGCTGAAAAGTGAAAAGAGCCTGCAGACATGTTGGGTGTAAAGCAATGCAGTCCTTTGAGACAAAGAGCAGGGATTAGAGAGCTGATGAGTGCTGCAGGTGGAAACATGCCCACAGGTGATGAGTCTGTCTGGTATTCTCACTGGGTTTGTTTTTGTCCCAGTTTGGGCCCGAACACCTGTTTCTGTCTTGAAGAGTCCCAAAACAATGTGCAAAAAAAACATGAATCAAAACGTACGTCTGGTTTAAAGCTCCTTCGACTTTCCAAGTGTTTTCTACTGATGTGAAGATTGTTAGATTTGGGAGTATTGTCTCATAATGCTGAGAGAATATTGGAAGCATCAGGGCCCGGTTGTATGAAAACAATCTAAAGTTATTGGATTTGATCTTTGTGTGGATTTCGGCCCCCCCTGTGGACAATGTTGTATTATGTAGTCCTGTTTAAAGATCAGGTAAACCAGGTTCTGTGCTCCTAAAAAGTCTCTTTATGTGGATCAGGTTTATTCAATCCAGTTTTTCTTTGAAAACAAGGACAATCAAACATGGATTACCTGATTCTGGATCTGAAAAAATAAGTGGAATAATTTTAGAACAACTTGGCTGTGAGGTTTAAAATTCAAAGCAAACACAAACAGTGTCATCTGGTGGTTAAAAAAGCTCATCTCCTCAATGAATCAAGTAAATCATCATCAGGTACAGCTCTAGTTGTGATCATTTCATGCATCAGCTGATCGGCTGTTTCCTTAAAGGAAGAACGTGCAACAAATTACACATAAATACTGCAGAAAGATTTCTGGTTATATTTGCTGAAAATAAAAGATTGCACACAGGATCTTTGATTTTCTACAATTGCACATTTTTTCTTTGATTCCAGTTAAATCCATGTTTTCTTTTAACCTTGCTAAACACAGTTTTCAATATTTCCTGTTTCTCTTGTCATTTCCAGCCGGAGCGGATAGACCCCAGTGCGTCCCGGCAGGGCTACGACGTGCGCTCAGATGTTTGGAGTTTGGGAATCACACTGGTGAGACTGATTGTTACACTAATGGATGAACCATGAATGTGTGTTTAAGTATGCACTTCTTACGCACACGATGTGTTTTTCAGTACGAGCTGGCCACAGGGCGGTTTCCGTACCCGAAGTGGAACAGCGTCTTCGACCAGCTGACCCAGGTGGTGAGAGGAGACCCTCCACAGCTCAGCAACTCCGAGGAGAGACGCTTCTCGCCAAAATTCATCTCCTTTGTCAACCTGTGGTGAGGAGTCATGGCTGGGAAACCATTCGAGTCCTAGAACTGTGAACCTTAACATTTTGTAAAAATCAAAATGATTCAGCAACACCTTTCAGTCAGCAGACTTCATCTGCTTCGATGACTGACGATTTTGATTGGATTAGATTATGATTCATTGTCAGGACACATAGGTGAAAGGAAACAGTGGCAGGTTTGCATACTCATGATGCACAGGCTCCAGCTGCTGTTTGTTACTGTGTCCCTCTAGTGGACAAATGGCTGAACTGCACCCTCTTCCTTTTTAATGCTCTTCTTTTTTTTCCCTCCTCTCTCTAGCCTTACAAAGGATGAATCGAAGAGGCCAAAGTACAAAGAGCTGCTGGTGAGTTCATGATATCCTCTCTGTAAACACTCTTAAAGCACAAAGTGAAGCTTTTATATGTTTCAAAGTGGAATGCTGCTATTTTTAAACATTGGTCCTAATGTTCTTTACCTACACCGAGATCTAAATTACTAATAGATAAAGAAAAATCAGAATTGCTCCTTTCCTGGATGTCATTCCACACTGTCTCTCTCCACTTCCTACTCTATCCACTGTCCTCAAAGGCAAAAAAGCCCCAAAGATAAAAAATAAATACAAATGTAAAATTAGGGCCCTACCCTCCACTTTTAATCGACTGAAATCAGAGTTGTAGTTTCCATATTTCTATTCATATTTTAAGGTGTTTTACAGATATTTTTTTTATTATTCCCCCACTGCAGAAAGATCCATTCATCCAGATGTACGAGGAGCGCTCGGTCGATGTAGCCGGTTACGTCTGCAGGCTTATGGATCAGATGCCGGCGTCCCCCAGCTCCCCCATGTACATGGACTGAAGCAGGACGGGACGACAAAATCCACAATGAAATAAAAACACACACACACACTAGTCTGCAACAAGAAAAACCCGAAAAGAAAAAGAAAACACAACAAAGAAACAAAACAAAAAACCCCCCTCGTGTAAATTTGCTTGGTTCCCCTTCTTGCAGTGTTAAAAGAGAAATGTAAAAAAGAAAAAAAAAAAAGCCTAAAGACAAACTCCATTTGCGATAGAGATGGTGTTTGTTCCAGTCATGTCTGTATAATATATCAACACTTCTGTTTCTCTCTTGTTCACACACAAACGCACAGTCATGTAAGTATAATAGCAGCTCGATAAAAATCACATCTCAGTGCTTAGTACAGTGGTTGAATTAAAAAAAAAAAAAATGAAAGCCTGGAAACGTTGTATTTATAGAACCAAAGTCATGTGGAGTGTTTTGATTTGGAGATTCTGCAACATACTGGAATCATGCTCTTTGTGAATCAACCCACCTCTTCCATGTGCGTCAATGAAAAGCATCGTGTTTGCTATCTTAATGGAACTTTGCTTCTCTGGGTATAAAGCCGTTTTAAAAAGTGTGGGTGGTCCGAATCGTGTTAGACCTGCGGGGCGGTCAGCGCCGACAGGCAGCTGTCCTCCTGCAGTGGAATATATGCTGATATATGAATAAAAGAAGAGAAAGAGATGTGTCGTCTGACTCGTTTTTACATCATGTTTTTTGAGTATTTCATCATTCAGAGGGTCAGACATAGCTCTCATGATCATGTAAAAACTTCATTGTTTTTGAAGCAGTCAGAACTATAATGCATGAACTGAAAATGCACTTTAAATAAATATTTATTATTTATGAAACATTCAGAGGTAGGAAGGAGAAGTGATTACTTTCTGAGCTGCTGATTGGTGCAAACAGCTTCCTCGAACTCCTCAGACGGACACTGTGACGATAAATACTGGACCCGGGTCAGTGGGAGTGCAGACCTGCTCAGGCCGGATCTGCAGGGACACAGAAACAGGTTTCACAAATTTGATTGCATTGATGAATCTCTTTTTGTTTGTATTATTTAACTATTTGTTTTCAGCATGCAGTCAGGGCCTTCTTTTCATTTGAAGGAGATGCAGTCGGAGTCATCTTTTTATTTGGGATTCCTGAGTGAAGTTGCTCACCTTTGTCATTTTTCAAGAATCAAATTCCATAGATACATGCAGTATGAAGAGTTATAATAGAGCTCTGCATTTAATCAATATCAGACATATTTATCCTCAGGCTGAAATACGGGCTTTACAGTTACTACTATAGACAGTTTGTATTATTATTATTATTATTTAGGATCAATATATATATATACATATATACTGTACATTCTATATATTTTATTATATTATTATATTAGTCTATATTATATAACATTTAATTTTATTACACTATATTCATATTGCACTATATTACATTATATTATATAAGTGCACTCTGCATTACTGTGGTACAACACTGCCTCTCTTCTCTGCTGTTTACATTACTTGCTGCTCTTTATCATACCATCATCACTTTAATCATCACTTGTCACTTTATCTTTTCATTCTCTGCAAATACTGTCTCAACTCCCTGCACAGTTAACTTCATCATTCATTTTGTACTTGTATATACCCCCTGTTTTTATTTTTATTTATCTTATCTATTCTGTTTAATGTGTATTTTGAGTTTTCTTGTCTGTGCTGCTGCAACGCCCGAATTTCTCCTCTGGGGATCAATAAAGATTTATCCTATCCTATCTCTAGTTTATCTGTAAGAAATACAAAACAATACTTTATTGTTCCCCGAGTGGGAAATTTGTTAAGGCGGATACAGAATCAGCATAAAGTGTATTTTTATTATAATTATGATTTCATTTTAATTTTTTTAAACCTTTATACATTTTTTTTTTTACCTGTCTTTAGGACTACATTTTTGTCAAAACTGCACCTCAGCTGATCTATTTTTCTAAAAATCTATTTTTTTAAATTCTATATTGTGATATTTTTATTTAAATTGTACTGTGTTCACTTTTTGTTTGCACTCTTTGCTCTTTGCTGCTGTAACAATTTAAATTTCCCGTTGTGGGATAAATAAAAGATTATCTTATCTTAGTTAAAGCCGCGCCCACTTCTTTAAAGAGCCTCTGTGATTGGTCCACACAACTTCTGACAAACCAATAATACTGTCACACGTCATCATTAGATGCCGGAAATAAAGTGTCACATGTGTCAAGCAACCTCTAAAGTCCAGCTGAATGTGCACTCAGCTACTTTTAGGTGATGCATTGTTGAAAAAAGAAAACATGGAGTAGATTATTTTTTAAATGTATCAACCTGCGCGTGTAGTTTTACTCATTTCGTGACGTATTTATTATGAATACTGTCCATTCACAGCTCAGGTGCTTTACTCTGCTGGCTGTGAAAGGCAGAGCTCCGCGCGTCGCACGTTGTGAGTTTTATTTCCACTGGACTGGGTTTCAGTTTTTCAGAACGATGGCTTCCACTCCTTCTGACAACACGAACAACCTGGAGGAGAAGCAGCCGTCGGGTCAGAGGAAGAAGAAGCCGAAGGAGCCTCTGCGGAGGGTGAAGACCAAAGAGAGCAGGGCGGCGCGGCGTGGGGAGCTCCACGGACCGGCCACGGCGTACGTGCAGGTGGTCGGTGCCGGGAGCAGAGACAACGCTGCGTCACTGTACGTCTTCTCCGAGTACAACAGGTAACCACTTCCGGCCTCTCTCTGCGATGCTGTCTATTTCTTTATTTTATTTTTAACGATTAAAAAAAATAGATTAAAAAATAAAATTAATAAATAAATGAAAAAAAAAATCTGTATAAAAAAAAATAAATTAAAAAAAGCCAATTTCAATATAATACACATTCTTCACCATTAACAAATGCAAAATCCAATAAAATAAACTAAACGGACAATACAAAAAAAAATACTCCAATCGAGCTATTATTATTATTATTATTATTATTATTATTATTATTATTATTATTATTATCTATTCAGGTGTTTGTCTGTAATCTAGGAGTAGTGTTTCAGTAGCTGTCCCTGTTAGAATATAATATAATACTTTATTGATCCCAAACTGGGAAATTGTGGCATTACAGCAGCAGGTTATCCAAACACACAATATGAGTAAATCTAAACACAATATAATATTAAATTCAAAGTAAATAAGCACTAAAAATATCAAAACTAAGAATCAGAATATACACAATCAGGATTTAACTTAGCATTACTAGTCTTAAATATGAAAGATTAAATGTAAATGTGCAAAAACAGATTTGTAAATGGATAGTATTGACATATGAGATGTGCAATCAGTGATACTGTAAGTTAAAGAGTGTAGACGTGTTATCAGCAGAGACTTTTCAATAACGTCGAGTAGACAGACAAATGTTGTGTCTTCTGTGGATGTGACTGACTCCTCAATTAGAAAAATCAGTTTCGTGCCTAAGGTTTCCTTTTAAACTCTGTTCTAAATGTAAACCAAAATAATTAATAATAATAAATAATAATACCTGATGAGTTATGTTGTCCCCTGTCTTCTGTCTCCTCTACAATAAAATTTATTGCAAAAAAGAAAAGAAATTCATGATTTTTTTACATTTTTTTTTTTTAAAGATTTTTTTTGGGGGCTTTTTGTGCCTTTTTAATTGAGAGATGGGGCAGTGGATAGAGTCGGAAACCAGGGAGAGAGAGTGGGACGACAGCCTCCATACATGGGGCACGCGCCCTAACCACTGTGCCACCAGCGCCCCAGAAGTTTCTCTTTTTTAAAACCTCCTTCCTCTACCTTTTCTATGTGACTAAATCATTTAAAATACACAGTTTTGAGGGGTGAATTAAAGCCTAACCTGGAATCAGTAAAAAGTAAGACAGAATACTCTAAAGTCACATCGTCTATCGTCAATATGGAGGCATAAATGTGTCTAAACCTTCCTCCTCTCTGCTGCAGATATTTGTTCAACTGCGGGGAAGGAACGCAGAGACTCATGCAGGAGCACAAGTACGCTGGTTTGAGCATCTATTTGTGAGCATTTCATTATCATCACGGTTGGATTAAAAACAGAAAGAAGTCATTGATCGTCTTGTGTTTTTTTAAGACTGAAGGCCGCGCGATTGGACAACATCTTCCTGACCAGACTGAGCTGGGAGAACGTGGGAGGTTTGTCAGGTAAGACGAATCGCTGATCGACTCCACAGCATGCTGCAGCACTAATCTGCTGAACATAGGGATGGGGATTGATCTGACTTGATTGATACATTTCTTTATCGCTCCTCTGATGAATTGTGAATGTTTTAATCGAGTCTGTTTCATGTGCAGGGATGATTTTAACCCTGAAGGACACCGGTGTCCCAGAGTGTGTCCTCTCCGGACCTCCACAGCTGGTGAGACGCTCAAACACACCCGATGAACAAAATGTGTTATCTGTTTGTTTTTAACATATAAATAAAGTTATTATGATACATCTGTCTGCAGCAGGTTTAATATCCTGTCTCTTTTTCTTCACAGGAGAACTACCTGAGTGCTATCAAGACATTCTCTGGACCGCTGGAAGACATCAAACTGTGTAAGAAGCGTTTATTTAACTCGATAAATAAGTCCTTTACGGGATTGTGTAATGTGTTTACTAAGTCATTCTCTTCCAGCGGTCCGACCGTACACTGAAGACACGTACGCAGACGACACCATGACGGTGAATCAAGTGCCCATATTTGGTAAGCGCTTCCTTCTCATGGTTTCTTCTCGTGTTTTTTCTTTTTGTGTTTCACTGAGACTTTTCAAAGTGACTCTCGTGTCTTCTCTTCTGTAGCCAAGCTGAGAGCGGACAGCGGGCCGCCCTCACCCCGGTCGGGCAGAAGCAGCCCGTCTCAAAGTCCTCCGTCTCCCGGGAAAGACGGCGTCCTCGCCAACAGCCTCGGGGAGGAGAGGGGCAGTCCAGGTGAGTCCAGGCTTCATCTAGTCTTCTCAGCCTCGGGGCTAAGAAGGTAGAGTCAGTAACTAAATATATAGACGTTTCCTAAAGTAATGTCACTTATAGGCTTCCATACATGTGTGGTGATGACTGTTTTAGCACACAGTGAGGCGGATGAAGCTCGTTCCAAAACGAGGGTGAAGCTCGGGTTGGCTTTCACCCTCGGACACAGTTTGTCTGCTTCCTATTGGACAGGCAGGCACCAAACACCAGCGCTTAGCTTGTGCAAACAGTAATAATAATAATAACTTTATTTATATAGCACCTTTTAAAAACACAGGTTTACAAAGTGCTTTGACAAACAGCAAGAACAAAGCAAACTAAACCAAACACAGAAAAACATTAACAACAGTAAGAATATAACAGATGCAAAATACCAAAAATAATTAAAAACAATTCAACAGAAAAGAACCCAAAGTGCACGATACACAACCAGACATATATAACCCAACCATCATAAGAACCATCATAAGAACCCAGGAACACAAGAACCCAACAACATGAGCTGAGACCAAGAGGACCAAAGATTTAAAAAGATGTAAGAAACTAAGAGATAAAAGTAAATAAAAAGCAATGAGAAGGTAAGCGCATTAAAAGAAATAAAAACTATAATATTAATAAAAATAAAATTAACTATAAATACGAAACATAAATAGACAAAGTAAGTAAGACTTTGTGAACGTACA